AGAGCGGAAGAAAAATCTGAAAGGCCTAAATTCTGCGGTCATGGAGTTGGCGGGAGTAAAATCAAGTCCCAATCTCTCTACTTGGAATATCCAAACCTCACTTTGCCCTCTCTCTCTCAAAACAGATCAGATATTTTAGGTAAGACAATGCCCTTTTCTCTATCGTTCTTTCCGTTCTCATGGTCCTTCAAAGACAATGCAAACTGACCAATCTCTGATTACTTGCTCTTGATCCTCGGTTTGTTGGCTACTCTTTAATGACTTTTTTAATACTTTGCTCCATGTCTGCTTGCTGTAATAGTCTCAATTATAGTTGTATTTTAGCTGATAGTAAGTCTCCTCTTTTAGCCATAAAAATGTGACCTTTGGAGGTAGTAGGAACATTGGAAAGTTCAAGCTTTTTCCTGATGGATATATGGTGACTCGGAAGAAACGGAGAAGAAAGCAATTTGGTTTCTACGTGGTGAGAAGTTCATCTGAAATGGTGTTGGGAATAGAAATACAAAACAGCTTGTCTACCGATGAAATTTTGAGGTTCTCAAGTCGATTTCGGACCCGAATTCTGCTCTTGCTTACTTTGAGTCAGTTGCAGAGCTGCCTAATGTCGTTCACACCACTAAACTTGTAATCATATGCTTGAAGTCTTGAGAGTTCATGGAATGGTGGGAGAAATGAATTTTGTGTTTCAATTTATGCAAAAGCAAATCATCAAGAGGGATTTGAATACATACTTGACTATTTTTAAGGGTCTTGATATCAGAGGGCTTAGACAGGCACCATTTGGACTTGAAAGAATGAGGGATGCCGGGTTTATTCTGAATGCTTATTCATATAATGGATTGATCTATTTGCTGCTTCAATCTGGGTGTTTTAGGGAGGCTCTGCAGATTTATAGAAGAATGGTCTCTGAAGTCTAAAACCTAGTATTAAACTTACTCGGCACTCATGGTAGCGTCTGGGAAGAGAAGGGATACTGGAACAGTTATGGATTTGCTAGAAGATGGAGTCTTTGGGATTGAAGCCAAATGTTTACACTTTACAATATGCATTAGAGTGCTTGGTAGGGCTGGGAAAATTGACGACACATTGGTATCTTGAAGAAATGGATGATACGGGGTGCGGACCTGATGTTGTTACTTATACTGTTCTCATTGATGCCTTTGTAATGCTGGGAGACTTGATCAAGCCAAGGAAATATTCGTAAGGATGAAATCTAGCAGCCATAACCTGACAGAATAACCTACATTACTTTGTTGGACAAGTTTAGTGACCTTGGAGACTTGGACATGGTGAAAGAATTTTGGAATGAAATGGAAGCTGATGGTTATGCCCTGACGTGGTACTTGCACCATTCTTGTCGACGCTTTCTGCAAGTTGGAAATTTAGATGAGCTTTTGATATGATGGAGCATGAGAAAGCAAGGGGTCTCCCCAATCTTCATACAACACATTAATCTGTGGGCTATTGAGGCTAAATAGGGTTGATGAGGCATTGGAACTTTTCAGAATTGGAATCTCTAGGCATTAAACCTACTGCTTATACATACATACTTTCATTAACTATTATGGGAAGTCCGTGACCATGGAAAGCTCTCAACCTTTGAGAAGATGAAAGCTAGAGGAATTGTTCCTAATGTATTGCTTGCAATGCATCTTTGTATAGTCTTGCTCAAGCAGGAGGCTTCATGAAGCAAAAGCTATTTTCAACGAGCTTAAGGTAGTGGGCTTGCTCCAGATTCGTTACCTACAACATGATGATAAGTGCTACAGTAAAGTTGGGCAAGTGGATGAAGCCATTAAGTTACTCTCTGAGATGTTGGAAAATCAGTATGAACCTGATGTAATGATCATTAATTCCATGATGACATGCTTTTTAAGGCTGGCCGAGTGGACGAGGCATGGAAATGTTCCACAAAATGAAGGAAATGTCACTTGCGCCTTCAGTTGTGACCTATAACACATTAATAGCTGGATTAGAAAAGGTCAGTCCAAAAGGCGATTGAATTGTTCCAGTATGGCCAGACATGGGTGTCACCCTAACACTATAACTTTCAACATATTGCTGGATGCCTTTGCAAGAACGATGAGGCTGATTTGGCTTTGGAAATGCTGTTAAATGATGCCGAGGAACTGTTTGCCTGATTTCTGACTTATAACCTGTTATTTATGGCTTATAAGCAACAGAGTTAAGGATGCTATTTGGTCTTTCATCAGATGAAAGTTGCTTTACCCTGACTATGTGACTTTGTGCACCCTTCTTCCCGGCATTGTAAAGGATGGGCAGTTATGGATGCCTTCAAGATTACTCAGGACTTTATTTATCAAGATGGGATCTATACAAACGGGTCATTTTGGGAAGATTTAATGAGTGGGATTTTGATGGAAGCTGGAATGGATAAGGCTGTTCAATTCGCTGATACATTGGCATGCAGTAAGATCTGTAAGGATGAGTCTATATTGGTGCCTCTAATTAGAAATTTGTGTAGGCATAAAAAAATTGTTGCAAGAGAACTGTTTGCAAATTTCACAAAAATCTGGGGGTTATCGCAACACCAACAACTTATAATTTGTTAATTGATGGACTACTGAAGTCCATAACACTGAAATGGCCTGGACCTTTTTGAAGAGATGAAGAGCTTTGGTTGTTCTCCGGATATTTCTACCTATAATTTGTTGCTTGATGCTTGTGGAAGTCTGGTCATATTGATACACTCTTTGAAGTTTATGAAGAGATGACTTTTCGTGGATGCAAGCCTAATACTATTACTCAGAATATAGTCCTTTCAGGTCTTGCAAAATCAAACAACATAGAAAAGGCTATGAATATTATTATGATCTCATAAGTGGTGATTTCCGCCCGACTCCCTGTACATATGGACCTCTTATAGATGGACTACTAAAATTGGGAAGACTCGAGGATGCAAAGCAATTGTTTGAGGAGATGGAAGAATACGGATGCAAAGCTAATTGTGTTCTTTATAATATTCTTATTAATGGATAGGAAAAGCTGGTGATGTAGATACTGCTTGTGAGCTATTTAGAAGGATGGCTATGGAGGGGATAAGACCAGACTTGAAGTCCTACACCATTCTTGTAGACTGCCTCTGTTTGGTGGGAAGAGTTGATGAGCTTTGCACTATTTCGAGGAACTGAAGTTAACTGGCCTTGATCTCGATTTGGTATCTTATAACCTTATGCTTAATGGGCTTGGGAGGTCAGGTAGAATAGATGAAGCTCTCTCTCTTTTGATGAAATGCGGAATAGGGGTATAACTCCCGATCTTTACACCTATAATTCCTTGATACTCAATCTTGGGATTGTCGGAATGACGGAGCAAGCAGGGAAGTTTTATGAAGAACTACAACTTATGGGTCTTGAACCCAATGTGTTCACCTACAATGCTCTAATTCGAGGGTACAGTGTGTCTGGAAATTCAAACGACGCTTATGCAATCTACAAACAGATGATGGTTGGGGGCTGCAGTCCTAACAGGGGAACATTTGCTCAGCTTCCTAATCAATCTTGAAAGCTTAAATGTATTGATCCTTACATGCTACTCATTATACCTGGCCGGTGACCTCAGTGTACAGGGCGGAACAGGTACTTCCCTTTTTTAATGCTTCTCGTTCTGATTTAGAGATTATTGTGAACTTTTCATTTGATGTCAAACACACTGATTAAAGTGTTTAAGTTCCCTTCATATATTTCAGGTTTTGTTAGTCTTGCCGACGCTTCAAGCCTTCTAGCTGTGGCTGTTGATGTTTCCTATCCAAGTGTCATCGAGACTGAATATTTCATGTACATCATATACATGATGTTATGATGTCGTACAATGGTTTTAGTAAGTATAGATGCCATACAGAACCTTTCATCTTTGTTGCCTTCGGCTTGCATTGTGCCATTGTCTATTGCTCCACGAGTAAGGAAAATAAAATTTTAGATCATACCTTTTATTGGTGTAATATGTATATTGGAAAACATCTGTATTTTCTCCATGGTCAATCAATCGTCTTGTTCATTTCGATGCATCTGTCTTGCTAACTTCCTTTTTAAGGCGTAAAAACTTGGGGAATTTTGCTTGTAGAAAAAAGCAAAGTAAAACTGATTACTTATTGTCTATTTAATCAATACAATGCAGAGAGAAGATTTGTACGGTGTCGTTTCGCATTTAAAGTACTTGAATGTAGAAAACAACATTCTTCCGTTGCATGTTACTGCTGTGCCGTCGACATGTTTTTCAATGTTAAAAGCAAGGGGGTATAATTGTAATTGAAGCTGACTTGTTGCTGCCAACACAACAGGTCAGAAACACCATTTGAGGACATGTCAAAGGTTCTGTCTTCGGAAATAACTGCAACCCTTTCAAATAAAGAGTTGCCATTAATCTATCTCCTGCCTTTTCTGCTTCCATAATCCATACCCAAAAATCATCCAAAACTGAAATCCCAAATGGACCAAAGCCTGCACAATAGAAAAACAAAACCAAATACAAAATGAAAAGGAGAACGGGAAACATGGGTGGAAAGCAAGACGGAGAGAACGAAAGATGGATAGGTGGGAATAGACATGTTTTCAGTTGTCCTATGTAGCTCGTGATCTTTCATCATTCTCAGACTCTTCTTCCCCATTTCTACATGGGCCTTTTTGGGCTCTCACATCCTCTCTTACCAGTTTCAGAGGTGTATTATTAGTATTTTTATTGATTTTAATCTATTTCCATTCCTTCCTTTCTCTCCCCTTCCCCATTTTTTTTCTTTCTTTCTTTAGAGTACCAATTTTCATCTCATCTGAATAAATTCTTTGATTTTTTGGGTCTTGCTTTCTGTCCGAGTTTTAGTTTGTGTTGTCAAAAAGATAATAAAAACAAGGGCTTTTCCCTCTCCTTTTAATTGTGTTTACAAACTTTTTAATGGATTGTAAATTATTTGGGCAAAAATTTATCTTTTTTCTATGATATAAGGGCTTGTGAGTTTTGTTGTTGTTGTTGTTGTTGCAGAATCTACGATATAACTTCTGATAAGTTTATAAGTTTTATTATTCGGTATCAAATCTCAATTTTGATAAGAAACCATAAAAGATGAAAAGGGTTTCTCGAAATTCTCATAGGCAATATAACAGTTAATCTGTTGATGAAGAAGCCAGGGCTAGAAGAAAGCATCAAAACCTACTGCATGAGTTCTTGGAATTGCAGAAGGTTAGTCCTTTGCCTCAATTTCTCTATTTAGTTGTGCTTTATTAATCAACCAGGCTGCATTCTTTGATAATCAAATAATAAATTTCTTGTTTTGATGATATAGCCTGCGAGAATGATATTTTCTTTCTGCCCAAGATTTTTACTAGTTTCTTACTGGTGAAAAATGATAGAACTTTCCTAATTGTTGGAATGTTTATAGGTCTATATGAAATATATTGAAACTTAATTATCACAAAATATATCTAGCGAGTGTTCATAAGTTTACATGTCCAGTTATAAGGATTCTAACTGTTCGTACTTTCAGTTAGCAATTGATTATTTCGTGTCGATCACCTTCTAGGAATTTGTTTCGATGAAGAACAAATTGGAGACGGTTAACCAGATGCAAGGAACCCTTTTGAATGAAGTTCGGTATGATATATATTTCCTGAATTTATATGGACTTTTGTATGTTTTAATCAATGATCAAGAAGAAGGTTCCATGAAATAAACTTATATTCCTTTTCTCCTGAACTGTAGATTCTTGAGACAGAGGTACAACTATTTATCAATGATCAAGTCTCAAGAATATGAACTACAAGAAGATTCTGTTCAATCACAAAATCCCTACCTGCAAAGCAAAATGGCTAAGAAGCATGGTGTCAATGAATCTATTGAGAGGAGACTGAGATCTCTTCCTGATTCACATCCAAATGCGGTAATCAACATTAAATATATAGCTTCAGAACTTGTTGTGCCGTTATCTGTTGGCATATTGGAATCAATCGAATATTTTCCGTATGGCAGGTTCATGAGGAAGAGAGCGGGAGAAGTCATGTAGATGTTCAGGCGGCGTCGGGAAAATGGAAGAAGCCAAAAATGCGTTTGATCAATGGCAAAAGAGTTGGGAAGAGGAAAATCTCATGGCAAGATCAGGTGGCTTTGAAGGTCGTCTAAATGTGATAATATAATAAGTATTGTTTGCACTCGCAGGTTAGCAGGATTAACTGTCTCCCTGCTAAAACTTTTGATTGTTATTGATACAGATTAGTACTATCATTGTCTTACCCTTACTTCTTCAAAACTGTAAATCAGGGAAATTTTGCTCAGTTTGGTATTAAATGAATACATTGGATTTTGCTTATATCAGAGTCAATTTTTTAAAGTCATGCTCATGTTAACCTATGTGAAGTATTATTTTTGTTAACCCTTGATCAACATGGCAATCTGGTACTTTAAACAAAACTTCAGCCATTAAAACCAAAAAAATTGAAAGTAATCAACTATACATGTTATAACTAAAATTGTCATGGTGGTATAGCTGTGACAACCACACCACCCCAATTACATGATTGTATATTTTTAAGAAAAGGAAACAAAGCATATATATATATATTGTTTTCATGTCATTAATTCAATCCTGCTCGAAGCCATCTATAAATGCATATTCCAATATTTGAGAAATGTGTTCTCAAATCTTCTCAGAAAGAGGATTAGGTACCTCCCACCACCAGTTGCAACTATTCTCGACTTCCCTATGGAGTCGACTCAGTGTCAAGTTGATTTGAAATGGCAGGATTGCTGCTCTTCAGGTGAGGCAGATTTGATTGGTTTCTTGAACTGCACTAAGATCATGGTCATATTATCGCAACCCTCGCCATTGGCTGTTGATGGTGCTAAACATCTGTCGAGTACCCTCTCACAAATAACAGAAAGCTTGCTTTCCTGCATTGCAAGCAGTTCGTACTAAGTATACGTACATCAAAAAAGGTAAGGAATGATCAAGCAAATTTGCGTAAAGTAGGACGAAGTTAAAGAAGCTTATGCACATACAGAATGTAGTTGTTCATGAATAAAGTCTACTAGCATCTGACTTGACATGCAATCCCTGATTTAAAAAAAATGAAAAGGCATTAGACATTAAATTCAGGATCGATATCTTGTCAGTGTGAACTTCGAAGGGTATAACCATACAATTTTTGAAGTGAGATATACTAAATACTAAATTCTAATTATATTATAATCTAAATGGAAACAGCATTAGATAAATATACCAGATTCCATCACATGCCAGCACAAGAAACTCATCATCGTCACAGAGCTCAACCTAACAGCAAATTTGTAAGATGTGTAAGTTAATACTCAATGCTCCAAAGATATTTAGGATGATAAACAAATATTAGAGCGAAAATGGAAAATTTATTAGTACAGTGGTCTGGTCTGGTCATACTGCTGACAGAGAATATACTCACGGTGTTTATAGATATCAAGCAGGGCAGTAAATTACCTATAGCTCTTGAAAGATTCAAACTGCCATTGACACGTCCTGCGTGGATAAAACCACCGACCTTTAAAATCCTTTCTTTCTCTCCCTCTAGATCAGGTTTGTGCTCTCTAGAGAGATTATATGCCTACAAAAAGAAGCCACATGAGAAATAAATCAAATAAATCACTTATTCAGAGAGAAAAGAATGTTCCCTACAATGACACTTACAATTAATGCCATAGTTCAAAGTTACAATAGCCAGTCCATCCACAAATAGTCGATAACAATATTACACATTTTAGTAGCCACTCGAAATGAAACTAGCTAATTTCACCAAATTAACAGAATATTACCTGACCCTTGATATCACACAACGAGAATCACCAGCATTTGCAACAAGAAGTTGGTTGTTTCTTATAACTGCTACGCACGCTGTGCTCCCAGAAGTTGGTCCAGAAAAGTCAGAGTGAGGGCCCTGATTACAATTTTTAAAACCATACATGAATGATACATAAAATTGTTGCAATTCATTGAACAAACAAATTAATGCAGGTTGTATAACAATATTATGCAATCGCAGGCAAACCTGGATTGCACATTTATGATCCCTGCCTCACCCGAAAGGGTAAGTGCAGGTTAATCGATGCTGCATATATACACCAAATCAGATTCAAGATATAGAAATGAAGTTCTGTTCTTCGATCTTGGTTTCCATCATAATTTGTGGCAAGCACCAAATTTCAGTTCAGCATTAAGGACAATAAGGTGAGTATATTCTCTATGTTTTCATACGAACCTCCTCAAAGGCCCAGTCATCAGCTTGGTCAATACCATCAATACCCTTTGGGGACCATATCAATCCTTCAATCATGCCAGTAAACTTGTCTATTTTATCACCCAAAATAGCTAACTCTCTCCATCCTCTTTGTCCAAGCATCATCTCATCCATTCTGCGCTAAAACGTAACTCGAGTTGGAAACGCATGAAATGAACAAAGGGAAAAGGGCATTCAACAACAAAAAAGAAAGGGTGGAGGCTGGCAAGGAGGGAGCAAAGTAGGTAACGGAAGCACCATCATTTGTGGTTTCTCCTTTCATTATCTTCTCAAAGGCTTGTAAAAGCATTTAAGTCTTTGATGAAAGAATTATACAACCAGATATAAGTTTAAAGTACAATTCTTAACCAAAAAAATGGCATTGCTAAGATTACATCAGAAAATCAACAACAATGTTCTCTAGTAATGGCATATTGATAGTAAATTCGACAAGCATGGAGCATGAATGAATGCATAAGATAGAAAGGAAGGAGAAAACGAAAACAAACTGCAGCGACAGCGAGTTAAGCGCTTTGGGACAAGGTAAGGGTTCCAAGACCCATTTTTTGTTTGGATTGGACCGGGAAGAATGAAAGGGAATAAAAAGAATCAAAGTAATGGATTTTCGACATTGTTGATGGCTCAAAAGCCGGATATCAAGCTGGGCTAATTGTGGCGGCCTGATACTGCTGCAACGTGCTACTTAAACTATTGCATTAGTCTGATTAGATGATTAGTTGTTATCTTGCTTAGCTTCTTTAAATGGCAAGTAAAGAACATGCTCCTGTTTCATTTGTTAGATAACCCCTCCATTTTCAAAGTTAATTTGTTCCTGATAAGACGTGTACCTAGTGCTTATGGACATGCATACATCATTTGCTGTTTATTTAATCTCCGTCTAATGATTACCAACTTGATCAAGGCCTTAATCAATTAGGATGGACCAACTTAAAAATACACTTTCTAATTTACTTTTGTTTATGAAGTTCATTAATTACTTGAAAATTAATTTATATGCTTACTAATTAATTTTTTTTATTAAGTTATGGTGATTACAAGGAAGTATATGTTCCAAGTACAAACGATCAATTATTCTGTTGTAGTTGCTAGTGCTCGAACTCGTGACCTCAAAAATAACAATAATTACTTTAACCATCGAAGTAAATTGATTCGTACACCTACTAATTAACTTTGTTATCATACTTAAGCTCAAAAATATATATATACCACCACTAAAAAACTATCGTAATACATTGTTATAATATGGTATTATTACGTATCATTGCCAGTGGTTACATTGACTTATAAAATATTAGGGTAAACTGCTTATTTGGTCACCATCTATTATATAGTTTATGTTTTGGTCACTCAATTATTATTTTCTTAAACCATACTTAATATTACATCTTAGTTATGTTTTGATCACTTATTGTTATAAAATTAAAATTAATATGAACATTAGTATCCGAAGATAATCTCTACTAGAAAGTAGAAAGCAAATATGAGATTTATGACTCTCGACATAACGCCATGTGCCCGTGCCACACAACACAATACCAACACGAAACATCAAAGCAACTGTTGAACTTGTTATCAAAGAATACATATACTGTCGCTGACAACAGATGTATACAGTATGCAAACGTCCCATCAACTATTCTCTTTCATTTCTCTATAAAACAATAAAAAATTTACTTTGTTTGATCTTAGAACAAATTTTGTTTCTTCAAAAGCTGATTGTCTAAACAAAATCGATCCCTCTTTTTAAAGAATATTAGCTAGCTAGCTAGCTCCTCGCCTTGAAATGGAAAAGCACCAAAACGACACAGCTTCACCATCACCTGCAGCAACTACTTTCGTTCAGGCCGATGCAAACACTTTCAGGGACCTGGTCCAGAAACTTACAGGATTCACCAACGACACGGAGAAACTTCCGTTAACTTACCCTGGAAGGCATCCTTCAAAAATCTCCCTTCATGGTGAATCAACGGCCCCACGCCGTCCACCTTTCAAGCTCCAAGAACGTAGGCAACACGGTACGAGGAAGCTGGAGATCAAGCTTGGCCTCTCCACTCGACGCAACTCACCCGTTTCTCCCAGCCAAGATCTCCGGCTCGATTCAACGATTCCCAGTCCGGTGACTCCACTAGTATCCGATTCACTCTTTTACTCCAATTCTTCTGGTACCCTATCACCATCATCTCCTCCTATGGTTTCGGAGGAGGAAAAAACGATTGCAGAGAAGGGATTTTACTTGCACCCATCACCATTGAATACGCCTAGAGGAAGCCATCCACCGGAGCTCTTAACACTTTTCCCGGTTCGTCAGGAGAAACGGGATTAGGGTTTATTGATTCGTTGATCATTCGTGTGTTAAATACTTAGAAGGTGTTATAATTATTGTTGTTGTATTGTACGAGTACAGTAGTTTCATGGAACTTAATTATCGAGGTGGAAGATTAGTAATGCTTAGTTACGTTTACTTTTTTTTCATCTAATTAATATCTCATATGCTTCTCTTGTGTTCCTCTATCAAATAATATGGAGGTTTAAAACGAGATCAAATGTAATGGCAACATTGCCAACCTGAGGATGAATGGTTTTTATTATTTTTAATTAATTTGATTAAGATATATTCTTATTTACTTTAATTATATTTTATAATAATTAATTAAAACCATCGTTAATTCATAATATAAGAAATAAAGATAAAATAATAAGTGTTTTAGCTAACGTACTTATGTAATTATATATTATTTTGATTGATTAAGTCTAATTTGATTAATAATGCTATGACTTGAGATAAATAATATTTAACCATTCGAATTTTCTTTAATATAGATATTATACTTGTAACACCCCAATTTAGGGGTTAAATTTTAAGAATTATAAAGTAGTGGATTTAATTGGTATTTTGGGAGGAAAATTGAGGATTAAATTAAAAAAATTTAAAGTTGGTAGACCATTTTATAAAGTGCAATAAATTCAGTGACTAAACCCATGATTTACCCAATTTTCTTTTAGAGAGAATT